GTGGGAAGCTCTGTCAGAACATTCTGCCCGGAAATTGCACTCTCATACCTTAAAAATTTTACCAATAGTTCATGGCAACAATTATTTTTCGTGACACAATTTAGGGGTATGATCGCACCATCTGTACTCCTGCATCCGCCCAAGTTCCCATTCTAAAATCGATTAAATAAGCCTAAATAAGCCCTAAATTGTCAAATTTTTCAGTCGGGTTTGCCCCTGGACCACTTTTGAAAGATTTTGAGTAATGCCTGACCACGCCCAATTTGCTCTGGTTGGGGACATGGGAACCTCCCTGTCGGGCAATTCCTGGAGCTGCTACTGTTTCACAACCCATTAGGCACATTTATCTGGAGGTCGTGGGTTCAATTCTACCCGATATACATGCAACATTCTTTTCCGAAGTATTTCTGGATGTGCAGTGCTGAGTATGCTGCAGAAGAGTATGCGAGATCAGCATAAGATAATTTACTAAGTTACATTTAATTTAAAGCCCAACTGGGACAGCGCCGTACAACACATTCCGACGTAATATGTCATCAGGGACAGTCTTAAGGTCATCATCATAATAGTAAATGTTTAATATTCTACAATGTGACCGTACTCGGCAACTTTAATTTAAACGTGTCAAGCTGCAACGTGACGCTTTCTGAATTTGGTTTAAACATTATGAAACTAAAGACGCATTGGAACTTGAAGCTTAATTTGTGTATTTTAGTAATTAGTTATCAATTGTAAATTAAGTAAGAATTGTGGAATTTTTGATAATCAGAGTAGTAAAATGTTTGTAAATTTATAAACAAATTGTTTATTAAGAATTGTTTTCTTCATGATGCCATCATAAATGGTGTATTATATAATATACTGAATAATATTAATTTGAACTTTAATATAAGTAATAATTTATCATTTAAATTGCATAATCAATACAGTATAAAAAAACGTACATACACTTTATATACATATAAGAAAGTATACATACTCCAAGTATTGAAATGCATGTCATTGTGCTGGGATTCAATATTTCGACATTATGTCATCATCAGGATTTCAATACTTAATGTATTATACTTTCTTATCTGAGATTAATCAGTGGACCTTTCGGTTTTTATAAACATATTATCAAAAGAAAAAATTGACATTAATGTTTTCATGTATATTTTGTATTCAATATTTACAGTCCTGGATGACAGCATCAAAAGAATGCAGTTTGGATGATCGAAAGGCGAGCAAAATATAATTTCTTAAAAAGTGTCCTAATGTGGTAATGTGGTGTATAACTGTGTAAAATTATATTCTGGTGTCATTTTTTTATTGCACGGTTATCATGTTTAAAATGTTGCTTTACACCTTTGCTTGAAATTTTCCATATTTTTTCTGGTAGTATGACTCAAGTTCTTCCTTGATATCTATTCGTTCAACTTTGTTCAGTGCTTCACTAATTGTTTCGAGATGATTTACATCAGCTTCCTGTGTACTTCGCCACTGTACCAACATTTCAATACAGGCGTCTGCAATAGGTGGTGAGAGGTCTGATTCAATTTGATTTATTTTATGTTTCTCCATACCAAGGTAGATGCCGAATTTTGTCAAATATTTACCATCAAGTTTATCAGAGACAAACACCATGTCAATATCATCTAAGCAACCTGTAATAGAACACAAAAATTTCCAATAATACTGTGTAGACATATCCGTTTAAAAAAGGCATGCTCTATTATTAAAATGAATTTCCATAAAATGAACAGCAAATCTTGATCATCAAAATATTTTCCTAATAAAAAAAAAATCATACAGATACTAAGCAAAAGATCAGTGGTCTAATGGTTATGACACCAGGATGTTGTGGATTCAATTCCCACCCAAATTACTTGCAAGATTTTGCCTCAAAAGTATTTGGGGATGCACTAAGTGTACAAGGAGTTCTCAACTATATTACAACAGGGGTCAAGTTTGATCAAATCAATTTGAAGGGTCCAGTGATCATGCAAGTTTGCAAAGTGACAAGAGGTCTAGGAGAAAATAATGTTGAAATATATTTATTTGTATAAAAGCGCATAAAACTTGATGCATCGGGATCGTGCTAGCAATGTTTCTCAGGATGTGCAAAAATGGTATTACATTTGGAGAACAGCAGTATTTTTTTTTTTATTAGATTTTACTAACCTTGCACGGGTGTTGGAATTTGGGACAGATTTATCTGAGTTGGTGCAACTTCTGCCTCGTCACTGTAGCCATGCCTTTCACACACACTTTGTGCAAGTTCAATAAGCTTCTGTTGCCTCAAAGCATTCATCATGATTGGTACTTGTTGGCTCTTTGATTGGTCATCCCTCCAAGTAACCAGCAATTCCATGATACAGTCTTCCACCAATCTGTTGTTTTTTGCTATCTTTTTTATATCGGTCCACTTGAGTCCAAGACGCACTCCCAGTCTCCTCCATGATTCGGGATCCAGATTGTCACAAATGAACAGCAAATCTTGATCATTAAAACATTTTCCTAAATAAAAATGATAGATAATATGCAGTGAGTAAAACACATACTTAATGACGAGCTACAGAAAAAAATGTGAGGCTTCCTATGTATTTTTAAATCACAGCCCAACACAGAGGCATGCTCCCTCCTTGCCGCATGCAAAAATTTAACCTTAGATCTAATGCCAGGACATATGAAGTGCTGAAAACAAATACAGATAATGTTCTGCTATTCTTTTTATTGCTCAAATAATTATATATATATATCTATATTTTGATATTTCATCCCATTATTGTAAGCCAACTGTAAATCAAAATGTTTTAACCTATTGTATTTCGTAATTTTACTCATCTTTTTGTAATGCATTGTTAATATACCTGTAATACAATATTTGTGTATGTTTTTTGATATCTCTCATTCTATGTAGTTTGATATTCTGTAATACAAGAATTCCAGACTTGTTCTCCCTTTCGTAATGTTTTTTATCCCCGAAAAAAATAAAATTTCTGAAATCCTTAAGATACCTGCTTGCTGAGTGACGAGATTTTCGTTAATTTCACCCTCAAACAAATCTTCTGCTAGTTGTCTGAGCTTATGTTGTTTCAGAGCAGTGCACATCACTTTACGTTGATGAATATCTCTACTGAGGTTGCTCCTCCAGTAATTTATCATATTTTCGGCAGCCTTTTGAGTCTGCATATCATCAGCAATGAACTTGTTCACTTTCGACCACTTAAGTCCCAAACGGACACCAAACCTTTTCCAGCTGAGACTCAAATCATCAGAAACTGTCACAATGGTGGCGTCATCCACAAAGCCTAACATGCAAGATAATTATTACTGTATATAGAAAACATATGTATCCCAACTGTATTTGACATGAGTTTTAGACACTCCATTTAAAAAAACTTTCATCAAAAAAAAAAAAAATGATCCCTGGTCTCCCCAAATTTCAGTACTTTTTTCACTTTCTGTTTATGCTACTGTTTTTTAAAAAACCGAATAAATAATGAAATAAATGACTGGAGATTTGGGAAAAATAATAGCATGAGATTAACTTTAAACCATTATCCAGCAGTACAGATGACATTTAAAACCAGTTTGTTGCAACAAAAAGTTTGTTTTCAATAAAACCAGCACCATCTTACATCAGATATAAAGTATGTGATCCATTATTTTAAAAAATCCATAAACATACCTGTTGGTATATGTACTACTTGCTGAGACTGTGGACGATCTAGAGAGTAATAGAATAATACATCAAGGTAAAACGACACATTACCTTTGATAACATAAGTTGTTCGTAATTGTTCAAACTTGCTTAATTATGATCATTTCACGTTGGCCCTTCTTTTTTAATATCTATTATTTTCTCTCATAACACAGCTTACGAGGAATAATTTTGCACAGGGTATTTATATAGAGCAATGAGGTAGGATACTATGTCGCTTGTCTCTGTTTTTTGTCAACGTGTGTTATTTTGGTTGTTTCATATTTGTCCAAATAGATTTACCAAAGCAGACCTCAATGAACATAACTGTACTTTACCTTGCAATCGTGGCTCGTCATCTCCAAATAGTCGACGGTAGCGCGGCAATATATTGCTTCCACATGACAGCACATCCTCGTCAAATGTGCGCACGATTTGCATGTGGGCACTACTTAAGTCTGAACTACATTCGCAAGCAATGTACCTCGTTAATTCAATGCCTCGTACGCCACTCAGACAAAATGGCTTTAGTTCCTTTTCGAGGAAACTCAGTACCTGGTGGAGATGAAAAATATAGGTTAAATCTATGTTAAATAATTAATGTACATTAAGGAAAAACATAAATTTAAAACATTAGAACATTCAAATTAATTCTCGAAAGTCTCTCAAATCAATGAAAGGTGTAGTACCTTTTTACACACTGTCGGTGAGGGCTCATCTTCCTGACTGTGTTCCAAGATTGCGATCGTTGTCTAGAAAACATAACATTAAGAATCTGTCATTTGAAGACAAATATGATTTTGATACTCATTTATTCTTGGCAGTTCTAGTAGTTTTTTTTTTCTGTGTGTATGTTCTTTATATTCCATACTGCAAAACAGTACTGCAATTATATACAGCACTTATATTTAGGCCTATATATTTTTTTAATGACTTATGATTGCAGTGACGACGATGTTTATGTTGGTGGCTTACATGTTTTTAGCGGCATTGGTTTTTATCAACTTATTTATTATACTTACATATATATAAACAATATTTGCAAATTTTTAATACTCTATTTTTACCATTAGGCCTATGTACTGTATAAACTTTCCATTCATAAAAAAAGTAATGAAAATAATATTAAAAGAAATTTGAAAAGTATCATAATACTCCTACTACCTTAAACATACGGCGATTCCTGATTGTTGCTACACTCATAACCACTTTATGAAATTGATCGATATTCAACTCCACATGCTCATACGACAATTTAGGCTCATCATCTTTTACTTGGAATTTCTCTATGAACTTAGTTACTCCTCGCTGGAATAGATCGTCGG